ATTCAGTATCACGGACAAAATCATTTCACCATTTTACTCTAACCAAATGCTGATGAAACAAGCTGATATTTCTATTCATAATAAGTAACAGAAACCAAGCTGTTTTAAATGTGAGCATGGAATAAGAAAGGGAGGATGATTGTGCATGTATCTGCAGAATGCACCAAGAAAATCATTATGGTGTTAAAAGTTTTCTCGAGGCAATAAGCCATTACGAAAACAAAATATTATTATTTTGCGAAAAAATTTATATATTTTGTTATTTACTCTTGCGATTTAAGAAATGAAAAATCGGAACTCACTTGAAAATTTTGATAATAAAGCAAACTAGATACAGGATGATAAAATTGTGTATATGCATATCATTCTAAATTAAAATGTAGATTATACATCTTTTCTAAATAGCTCATTGAAAGACACATTAACTTTTATGGTATTTTCTCTTTCAATACAGAATGCAGTTTCCAAAGGCACTATAACAAATACTGGCTCACAAAGTATTCTTTTGAAAGAAATGCAATTTGAATCAAATCAAATCAAATTCATAAAAAAATTATATAAATAAACATGCTTAAAGTATATAATTTAAATGAATAAATACTAGATTTTTAAAATAACTATTTGAAGAAATATAATTCAAACACATAACTCAAATAATTAAAAGTTTTTTTTGAAAAGAAGAAATCAGTCAAAAAATAACAACTGTAGCTGAAAAAACATAATAAAAAATAAAAATATTTCCAAGACAAAAGAAACCAGAGGTTTTCGCCACAAGTCTAGAATGAAAGTGTGTAAGGATTAACCTTAATATAAATAAAATATTTGCCAAGTTTTAGTTTAGACGCTTAGTGGGGGGGGGGGGGTACACCATACTATTTCTATTCATATCTATTTGAGCTATATACATAGACTCCAACCTGCAGAACTTGTCAGTAGCCAACGTGCGAATGACATTTTCACAACTTTGAAAATGCGCGCGTAACGCATATTGTAATTAACCATTCATTAATTTTTAATTAATAATTGTAATCAATTTTGTTACATTTAAAATCCATATACATATAAAACTGAATAATTAAATAATTAAAAATTATATTATATACTTGTAAAGTATATGCACATTTAATTAGAAATTTTCATTTAATTCCTCACACTTGTATATCACTAAATCTACTATTATATGAAAAAAAGAAAGTATTTTAAATCACTACTAATCAAAAATCAGAATCCATAAATCATACATCTTTATTCTGGATTTCATTTCTGCAGGGAAATGAAATTTAAATAACCAAGAGTAATACATATTAGTATTAAAAATATAATTTACGAATGCAAAGATCTATATGTAGCAGGCTTAGCAAGCTTAAGTTCCGATGAGAATGTTTTTTATAACACAGTTCTTCATTTGCCTGCATACTTATTTTTTCAATCAAAACAGCTTTGGGAGTTTTAGGACTTAAATTTGGTCGATATTCCGTCTGATTTTTTTTAACAATAGAAAAAATTCTTTCGCAAGCTGCATTTGAATGAGGTATTATTAAGAAAGCAAGCATTACAGTAGGCAATATTTTGTATTTAATACACCCATTCATATTTTTAAATTTAGCAATATCTCCCCATGCTATATCAATATGCAAATCTACAATTTCTTTCAAATCATCTACTTTATACATGGAAAATTCAATTTCCACTTGATTAAGATATTTTTCATCAATAATGGATGGAAAAGTATTCATAAGTAAAGAATAGATGAAAATGAAACTTCAGTCCTCAAGTTGATGTCAGCAACTTCAGCATGTTTTAGAAATGGATCACTTAGTGGAAATTTTATCTATTATATCTATGAACATACAGTTACAAAAAAAGCTTTGCAGAGACTTGAAAAATGATTTTCACTTCCACTTTCATTTCAAACTTGGCATTTTTTAAATATAGTCTTTTGTTTCCGCACCAATCACTAAATTTTCATTTTCTTTTTGTTTACTATACTTTTGAAATGAAAGAGATCTTAGAGTAAAATCTTCGTTTTCTTTAGAAATTACTGATGGTTTTACGAATCTAACAAATAAATTCATTAAAAGTTCAACAAGTTCTCTTGTCAATTTATGTAGATAAGGAGCTTGTTGTTGCAAATTAATATTTACTGTTATAAACAAAGGTAAAGTATTTTTCAAAAATAACAAGTACAATTTGGTGGTAGATGATTGTAACATTCTTTTAATGTTCTGCAATCTCTTTCCTTCATTCTCATTGTTATCTGGTTATTCTCCAAGAAAATTTATCACAACATCCCACTGTTCTAAAATCCTTGTTATAGATTATAAAAGAGACAACCATCTTGTACTGCAATATTTCAAAATTTTATAAGATTTTGCATTCTGTCCCAAAATTTGTTGAGCAACTTTGAAGCTATGCTTTCGTTACGAACTTTTCTCCAAATAAAATATATATCTATTAACAACATTTCGATTTCTGAGCCAATTAATTTTCAGTAGCCTTTTTTTGCAGCTATATGCAAGAGGCATGGAAAACCTTCGATGACTATACTTGGTTGATGCATTTTGATAAACGATGCCATACCTTACCTTTAAACTTTCCAATCATAATACTAGCATTATCTGAAGAAAATGATAAGCAATTTTTCCATTCTAAACCTTTGCTCTTAAAATTTTCATTTATACAATTAAAAATACTTTCTCCGGTATTATTCGTGCACTCTAAAATATAAATCAATGACGTAATTATTACTCCCTTTTCTTTACTGTAATATATTATACTCAATGGATACAGTTTGTTATCATCACTTCTATCAGTACTTAGAGAAAACGATGTATTGCACACTGATTTTATAATATCGGCAACAGTACTTTCTGCAAGTGTTTTCACAATAGTGGCAGTTTTGGTATGACCGCAGCTAAATTTTTTTGCTATCGCAGGATCCGGAAACATTGCTTTGAAAAGCTCTTTGGAATGATCCGAAACAGAAAATGGTAGATTGTGTTCAATTAAAAATCGAACAAAATAGCATTCGGCTTCTATAGGAACGTTTTGTCATCTTTTATTAAGAAATTTGTTATTTCTTTAGATTTTACAGTGCCAAGTTCTATATGTTTTTGAGAAAAAACATGCTGTTTACAGTCATCTTTTCCGCCATGTGCAACTGAGAAGTCTTTGTTGCACACACTGCAGTGTGCGTGGATGCTTTAATGCATAGAAATTCTGAAGAATATGAATCTTTAAATTTCTGCTATAATAATTTTGGCTTTTTGATTCGAGGTAGCATTATTAAAAAACTTCCACCTGAATCCCAGTTCACAAGACACATGCTAAGTTCTCACTGTAATACAAGCAACGGAGCCGAAGGTAAGCTAATCACGCAGTAGCAAGGAACCTGAGATACCAGATGTTGCTGGAGGGGGGGGGGCACTATCGACCAGTCATTAACGGTTGGAGTTACTGATCTACGATTGGCTATTCTTCAAACCCAGCAACGCACTCAACACGTGATATATGATGACACGAGTATTCAGATAATCATTGGATGAATTAGTTGGTTCCGTTTTGCGTGCTGGTTTTCCTACTCTGTTTCTGTAAAATCCGTAGTTTTTTCCATACTTTTCATAGCTTGTAGTTTATCATGAAATTCTGTAGAAACTACGGATAATCCGTAGTAGTTGGAGTCTATGTATATTCTAAAATTATTTTGAGTTGCGGATTCAAAACATTTAAAAAAATTGGCATACCATTTCAGAAAAAGTCCAATTATGACTCAAAATATGTATGTTAAAATGGTATATAAATTTAATATATATCCTCAGTTACGCTTTCAAGACATGAAAAACATAAGTTGACAGGCCAATAAGAATGGAAGATACAGAACTGTCTCCGTTTTTTTGACTGAATGTACATTAACTATCTTTATTTGCTTCCACTGGCTCTGTGTTGAAAACAGCACCCATTCAGTGCCTGCATATCTGAAAGTGGCAACATGTTTCCCTTTACACATCCAGTGGTTCATGCAAAACAGAGCCATCCACGTATAGCAAATATTGTAAATTCTCTAAGTATATAATATTGTTATAAGTTTCAGTACGAGAGGTTTAATGTCCGTATATATCACATACATTTTCTGAATGTTAGGGGAGAGAGAAGGGTCCCTGCATAACCTAGATATTAATCATTTACTTTTGGTACTTTTTGATTAATCGCACCACTGGTTTTAAAATTCCACAGCACTGTTGTATTTTTAGGTATTTTCAATTATAAGTGCAAGAACAGCCAACCCACATGTAAGTACGGGTGAATTTAGATGCTTTAATTTTCATTATGTCAAACATTATCCATTGTCAAAATGTAAATAGCAGCTTTACAGATTATTTTCTCTCATAAAATTTTTCATTTCTTCTTAAAAAAATATCTCTTTTTATTATTATTTATGGTGGAAAAAAACCCACATATGAGCTGTAAAGACAACCAAACCATTAAGTTTTTGCTTCATACTTGAAAAACTATAAATTCACTGTCACCAGTCAGTATGAGTTAACTTTTTTGGGGGATGTAAATAATCAGAAAATACCTTCTTTTTGTTGATTTTTTTTTTTTAAATTTTTAAATAAAACATTTTCCAGAAAACCTTCAAACATAGTGCAAGCTCAAAGGTCTTATCATGCAGTTTTGAAAGGTGTGTTGCCAAAGGCTTATAACATCCAGTAAGATTCATTTAAAAAAAAAAAAAAAAAAAAAAAAAAAAAAAAGTAAGGACATTAAATGATTCTGCTCTCAACTCACTTTCCCTGCTCAGATAATTAGCTATGCATTCATTTTTAAATATTTTGATGATAAATAAATGTGTAATAAACAAAATTAAGGGTATGATGTTTCACGCACTAATCTGTACATATTTTTGAATGATGATGCTTTGTCTTCAAAGAACATCAATAATTAAGAAAGCCATATTTTTAATTAAAAATAAATTTATGTACTTAGTGAGATATGCCTACCTTGAATTTAAATCTCACAGAATACCATTTTTCAAATGCAATTTCTTTATTTTTATTTTCCAGTGTAGGGAAAAGTGCTTCAAAATAGAACTGAATGGCAAAGAATACTTCATGTGAAGTCCAGTTAGACATTACAGTCATACACCAAGGAAAACTGTTGATTTGTGGCTAGAAAAGAAAGAGAAATCAGTTAAATTATGAGATATTCTTCCTTATTTATAATTTTACTCATGATATAATAAAATTCACTAATACATATTTACACAATTAAATGTCAACATTTTAAATACATAAATAATTCTCAACTGCCCATCAAACAAAATTACTCATCAAAAACAAAAGAGCTGAAAAATAATTTTTTTATTTACATACTGATTAAAATTTTTAATGAAATGCAGTAATATTACCTAATACTCTTCCTTTATAAGGCATCCAAATATCTTTGGAGAGAAATTAAAAAAAATATTTGAATTTTTTCATCATATATCATAGCAGGATTAAGAAACTCAGAATCAAATGGGAGAGGAGTTGGTTCTCTCCCATTTAAATTTTTTAGATTGAAAAATATTGTTAGTTGAATTATTGGTACTCTTTGACATGACATATTATTAAAAAGGTCTCATTTGCATTTAAAATTTCTCCATGCAGACATTTTCTAAAAATTCTCTTTAAATATACTGGTCTTTAAATATACTGGTTTGATAATATCAAGAACAGTATTAATAAGTCCCAATATTTTACTTGAGCTACATTTAACATGGAGTTGTTGCTTCATAACACCAGCTTTGGTGCACTAACAGTAGCATATTTGCCAACCTATAATACTCAAAAATAAAAAAAAAAAAAAAAAAAAAAAAAAAAAAAAAAATTAAATGATAAAAACTTTTAGAAAGAAAATACATTTTTTAATAATGAATTCACTTTAAATAGTAGCTAATTAACATCTGAAAATTCCCTTACTAATTCTTAAATGAGAATAGTACAAATACACATGCAAAGAAACTTTTTTATTCTTTGCAAATTTTAATAGAAAAATAATATTTTAATCCAGCGGTTCTCAAACTTTAGAGTTGTAGCCCCTTTTTTCAATTAAAATTTTTCATGGCACCCTACCTTAAGCAAAATTGTGACTGATCATGTATCTTTATTATTTAACAATTTTTTACTTCATTAACATTAAATTAATAAACAATGTGATGGATGAGCCTGCAAATTACTACACATTTTCACAAATTGTGGAATTAAAGTGGATACAGCCACCCTCATTTTTTTTTCCTACTTTGATTTTTGCTCTATACTTGCTTTTTATTACAGTGGCCCCTGAAAACCCATCTTCGCACAAATACACCGTCGAAAATGGAATTAAAATCTACTGAGCCTTCTGATTTAGAAGGGGATATTCATCTTTTATTGAAAACCAAAATTCTGTCAATTCTATGCCGTCAAACTGCAGTTGCAAGATAACTCGATAAGATTACCTTCTTTCACAGAAGTAAATTCAGACGGAGCACTAAATGTTAAATGGATCTTGAATCCATGCAACCTATTGAAAATTTAATTTTGAAAGTATTTATCAAACCACATAATTAGTTGTGATAAGTTCCCTTCAAACATGGTTTTTATATTTTGAGAAAGATAAAGTTCATTTGACGTCAAAAATTGCTGAAATATATATATATAGTTGTATAATCTTAAATTCACTTAGTGCGAAATATACAAAAATCTGTGCTGCATCTTCATTCAATTTTCTTCTCCACAGTTTTTTTTTTTAAAAATAAAAGCTCAGATATATTTTTTATTTATTTATTAATTTTTTTTGTTGACTTCAAAAGGTGTGTTTTTTTTTCTGTGCAGAGAGAGATAAATAGAATTCAGCTGTCACATAAATATGCCAATTTTATTACAAAATCGGCTTGCGTGAAAAAAGAGGAGGGGGGAGGACAGTTCTATATCTCCCATTCTAGTGGGCCAATTGATGAAATTCAACTTATGTTTTTCATGTCTTGAAAGCGTGACTTGGGTATGTGTTAGATTTATATATAGCATTGTTCTAATACATGTGTTTTGACTTTTTCTGAAAGGTCATGCCAATTTTTCCCATATTTCGATTCTACGACTCAAATTATGCCAAACTGCCAAGTTTTGTAAAAATCACACGAGTAGTTTTTAAAAACTTAGCTCTCATAACTTTTACTCCTCAATGTTAATTGAATTTGATATATATTTATTAATATCTCTTTTTTTATTAAACTTATTTGATTCTTCCTTTCATGTTTTGAAATTTATGTTCATTTCAAATAAAATCTGCCTATTTTTTATGATTTTTTTAAAAACTTCCGAAGATATATGTAAATTTACATTTTGGCAAGTTTTCAAATTTGGTATATTTATTATAAGCGATAATAACAAAAATGTGGTTTATGCACTTTGTTAAAATTATTTGAAAGTATGAATGATGACTTTTTTCTGCTCATGGCCAATGAAGAAAATGGAAGGGAAAATATGTTGCTATAAATTAAGAAGTTTGCCAAGTGGATTATTCTTGCCGCAAACTGAAAAAAATTCACCAATATAAATTTTTAAATTTCTCACCAAAAATTATAAAATTTAATATCTAGGCATAATTTGAGCCGTAGAACCGAAATATGGAAAAAGTTGGTATGTTATTTTAGAAAAAGTCCGATTTTGTGTCAAAATACCTATGTTAGAACAAAGCTATATGTAAATTTAACATATATCCTAAGTCGCGCTATCGAGACAGGGAAAACGCAATTTGAATTTCATCAATCGGCCCAGTAGAACAAGAGTTATAAAACTGTCCCTTTTTTTGTGCAGTGTACATGATAAAATATTACCATGGTAGAAGCATCATGCACTGCTATAGTACAACAAAGACAAATGTTTGACTTGGTAAAAAATAATAAATACATATCTTCACAGAGATTTTTTAAAAACCCTTGCTTTCAACACATGATTCAGTGCAGGACTTGGATGCTTTGACGCAAGTGCTTCTCTAGGAATAATGCAATGGGTCTACACTGCATTTGGTGATTTGTTTCAAATTAGTCCCTGTAATCCTCCATAGCAGCTTGACATGGAGCAGCCTCCATCAGTACAGACACAAATGCCCTAAGGCCAATTCCTATTCTTTTCAGATATGAATGCATCAAGAATCAAATTCCATCAGCATCTTTCAGTTTTCCAAATAAACTCCATCGGGTGTAAATCCTAGCTCGTTTCATAGGTTCACACGAGTAGTTTTTGTAGTTCACACGAGTCCAATTGTAAACTGCATGGAAAAGCGTGGATGAATTTGGCCTGTGAACATTGCAGTTGGACACCAGAGCATTAGGGCCATGTACTCTTTAAGGGTTCAAACTGGTGTTTATCTGAGCTACCAGGGACAATAATTTAGCCGACCCATCTCCAAAACCAGTTTCCCCCATAGCGCAGCATGTTAAAAAAATCTGATCTGCACACATAGCGAAGCTACTCAACACTGTAACTGACTCCACTAGCTCAGATAAACCCCAGTCTGAATGGCCCTTTACGGATAAATCTCAATTTAACATCCCAAATTATTACTTCAATGATATAGCAAGAGACAGGGACACACTACTGAGTGCTAAACATCATCGGAAAATATCATTACAGAGGAGGATGCTGTCAAAATATGACACTACTTATTAGCTGGATTAGCAATAAATGGCTGCATCGAACTTTACATGATTGTTGGTGGTTTTATAACAGCCATTTGATATTGCGACAAATTCCACAGCCTCTTGTGCATCCTTTTATCGGTGTAATTTGTACCTATATGATATTTAAGGACAATAATGTCTGCCTGCATAGAGCTTGAGTGGTGCGAAGTTATATGGAGAATGAAACCATTTCATGTCTATCGTGAACCTGGTAGATCACTATATCTGAATCTCATACAGCATATGTGATATGTGTTTGGACAACGGACAGCAGGTGGCAGTGTGCCACCAGGCACCCTCCACGAGCTACGACATGGAATCAACGACACTATTGCCAGCTTGCCTCGCCACTGACCATCATGCATTTCAGCTAGAACGTATCATATTCATTATTAGCATGATGTTTCCATTGGAAATTCTTTCGACCCATTTGGTCTTTCACAATGTGATGATCACAATACATGTATTTTTGTACATTTTTGCTTTATTGTTTGCAATGCGGTCTAGTAATGCCATACAAATCTCTGGGATCAGTTTCATGTATATCCATTACATAATTTTTGTTTTATTCCATGTTTAGCCATTTTTACTTATTTTTTTGAGCAGGAGGGTATATGCCAAATGACCTGAGGTGGCTCACTGGGGAACTAAAGCACAACATTTTAAAACAAGTGCACAGAGCAGAAGTGCATCATAATATGTTACTGATGAAACAACTTTGCTTTTCTTTTACATGTAATCTAGAGAAAAACCAAGTCCTTTCAGACAATCCCTTTTCCAAACCCCCCTTCAAAAATCTCATTTTCGGGTGCAAATCATGCAGAAATCAGATTTCTCTAGGAGCTCGAGGAGTAAAAATAAAAAAGTAAGGAACTGGGGCCAGATTGCCTGCACAAGCCAGTTGGGGCCTACATTTTCCTGGATGAGTCCCCCCATTTGAATTAGTTGGTCTTCAGAAAATTAATAAATGCTTATTCTACATTGCTAGTCTTCAGAAAAATTAATCGATGCTCATTCTTCGTCACTGGTCTTCAGAAAATTAGTAAGTGCTTATGCTTCATCTTCCATCATCTGAAAGATATTTAATTTAAAGTGTTGTCCCCATAGTCCAAATGGAAGCATCTAAACAGTGGTATATGCATGTGGATGATCTCAAATCCAGGATCTTGTTTCTAAGTTAGAGGTTTAATCAGTAATTAAGTGACTTAAGTTCTAAACTTCCGGACATTTGTCGTAAGCAGCTTTTGACAAACGTAAGGGAGTAGATTCTGTAATAAATACAACTCAACAAATTACCGTGCATGAATGATGGAAAAAAATGAATCTAATTTGCAGGGGGTGCGTGTAGGTATCACCAAACTACTAGTCCTTTTAGCAATGAGGTATTCAGTCACATCTACAAATTGTTTAAAAAAAATTACAAACCAACTCTGACCCACTTATTGATTTTCATTGCCAACCATAACTGCATTTTCAGTTACTGTTAATTGGTAATTAGATGAATCACTTAACTCTTTAAAAATATTTTTAAAGCTTATTTTTGTAATTAGCAATATTTATGAGTTATTTATTGAAGCTGAGGGAGCAATTTTAAGGTTATACTGTTATAAATTTGGTAGGATTTTGAAAAATATTAAAATACGGAAATTTCACTAAATAAATGAATTTCAGTGTTTAATGATAACTAAATAAATGTAGCAGAGTGCATTGAAAGGATAAATTATCCATTATTCAGGAAGATAATGTATTTTAATTAGCAAACTGAAATGTATCTTGTTAATGCATTTAAGAGAAATGTGTTAAAGATTGATTACTTGTTTATTAACCTAAGAAATTAATAAATGCATTTATTGCTAAATCTTTTACTTTTGTTATCATTTTGCGGTCTAACTTTGAGACATTTCATTTGTTTGAACAGTAAGTTTTTAGAAACTTAGAGATCTACTTACTTGGGCTTATTTATCAAACACAATGCAAATCTTAGTACTAACCACTAATTATTTTTTAATGATTTATTGAGATATGTGACCATTCGAGGGTGCCGAGGAATATGCTAAACTAAGTTTATTATTATTCTAATTTATTTTCCCATCACCTGTTGTTCATTATATTTTACAATACGTTCTAATAATTTTATTCCAAAAGGATTATTTATTTAAGACAATTACCATCAAATATAACAATGTAAAAGGAAGAAACTGAAATTATAATTAATACAGAATAGTATAAAATTAAAGATAATTTATTAGAATAATATTTCAGGCTAAGATTATTACAAAATCTGTTTATTGCTTGGCAATTCTTTATATCAATTGTAACATCTTTCAAAATGTACAACTCTAATGCATGAAAGTCTTTCAAGTAACTGGAAATAGAATTTGGAACAGACGGAATTATCTGTGCTTGTTGGTCTTATCTGACCTCAGACATGGGTTAAAATGGGCTATAAAATTCACTTAATCCATAGCTTTTTACCTGATTTTTATTGAATTTCAATGTAACTCAACTATATATATATATATATATATATATATATATATATGTTATTTTAAAATGAAGAATATGCATGTACATTTATTGCATTGTCAAAAGATAGTGTGACGAAACCCATTACCTAGAATATGCACGTTAATTACTGCATTGAGAAAATTCAATTATGTGTTGCCAAATGTAAATCCATACAATTTTGTTACATCATGCAAATATGCAAATTTTACACTGAATTTTGTATAAAGAATAAAAGAGCGTTTAACTCTTAACAAGACGAATATAACTTTACAGTTAAGATGTAAATTAAATTGGATATCATTAGAAATAATAAATAATGAGCAGACACAAAATATGCAGTCAAAATCTAATATGAATAAAAGAGCAATAGCAACTCAGATTTTATAAGCTAATTTAACACTTACTATTTTAAAATAGTTTAAGCATGAAGAAAGGATCTCAATCTATTATACACAATATAGTTCAGAATCAAAAGACACAGATTTTGCACTATATGAAAATTAAGACACAACCAAGCTTACCTTTTCAATAGGATAGATCATAACATGAAGCATAAACAAGCGTTTAGCCTCGTGTCTCATACCACTCTCAGCTAATGACACAATTAAACCTCGGATTACGTCAGATTTAACATTCAAAATGGTTTGAAGTGGACCACACATAGATCGAAAAAGCTCATATGCAAGATCGACTTCCTTTTCGTTTAAAAATGTAATCATATACTGATTGTAGACAAGTTCTAAATCTGAGAGGGGGGAAAAAGAATTCTTGTGAGCAGAATGTAACAAATATTCAGTTATAATTATGAGAATTAAAAATGTATAATCTAAAGATTATTGGTAGCAAATTTACAAAAGATTTTTGAAGATGCTAATCAATAATATCAAATATATATATGTTAAAAGTGGGAATTCTTAATTTATTGTATAATTAGTTAAAACCCTAATTATTATTTGGGTAACACTTTCACAGGCCTACTTAAAGTCAAGTAGGTAAAGTTATTGAAAGTGAAAATTTTAACATCTTTGAAGTTTTATCTTTGCATGTAAATAAATGGAAATGAGCTGGCAGCAGGAGTATCTTAATCACCTTTCTCTCATTTGCAATAAAATTTAACCCAAAAATGATTCTGATTATTTTGCATTATAAGCAATCTAAGAGTATTTGCATGTGGGAGAACTCTAACATTTAATCAGAATACAAATCATGAAACCACAGAGTGATTATGTCAAACATGTTAACTTTAAGTAATTTTTACATAAAGTGCTCTAGTTTTATGAGACAAATTTCAACTAAAAACTTTACATTTTGCACATTACTGCAAAATCTATTTTTAACATGTACTCTTAGCAGACACGTTGCTGATCAATGAAATATACACATTTTAGCTATTAAGATAGGAAATAAAATTATACAGCTAAAAACTCAAGTTTAATGTTGACAAAATTATGCAAAAATTTAAAATATATGATATTTAAATTCAGAATACTGGAATTATATTATTATGAATATAATGGAATATAATTTATTATGAATACTGAAAATTAATAATTTTATTATTTATTTATTTTCCGTATTCTTTAATTATTATAAAGCCCAAGTTTGCTTTATAATAATTAAAGAATAAGGAAAAAAATGTTAGTTAAAGACAAACAAAATGCTACTACTGCTACTAACATGCAGTAATGTCCAAAATTACTATTACATGCCAAAAAAAGAAAATTCTGAAAAACTAATGAAAAAAATTATTTAAGCTTTGAGCTTCATAATATATATATAACACATACAGTTTCGTAACATATTAACTGAAAAAATGAATATGAATATATATAAGGTTCATTTTAATTAACACATTATATTTTTTCATTGAATTCTCTCTACACTTTTTCTTTCTGTTAATTTCACCAGAAATGCAAATTACGTGAATTTAAAACACAAGTGAGGATTTTAAGTTTTGAGAAAGCATTGGCAAATAGCACAAGGAATGTGGTAGACTCTACATGAAGCACTGCATTAATTTTATTGCACTGTATTATTTTGTATTATAAATGAATATGAATAAGGTTTACTTTAATTAACACATTATATTTTTATGTTGAATCTTTCCTACAGTTTTTCTTTGTTTATTTCATTAGAAATGCAAATTAAGTGAATTTAAAACACAAGCGAGGATCTAAGTTTTAAGAGAGCACTGGCAAATAACACAAGGAATGTGGTAACTTTCAGATTCTATCTGAAGCACTGTATTGATTTTCAGGGAGTTTAGGATGCATGTTCCTAAAACGTACTCACTGTACCCCCTGCTGAGAAAATGCTGAATCACTATTGGCTGATCGACTTGCTATGTAATAACGCCACTTGTTTGGTTACGTGACAAGGCCGATTGCGTGGATTCTAAAGAAGTGTAACGAAAACGGCGTAAAATATAACTTGCAATTTCCTGGAAAAAACTTAATAAGTTTTGTATGCATATACAATTCCGAATTAATAAAAGGTAACATTAAAAGGTACAGCTGGTAAAGAATATAGAACGTAAAGCTCTTCAGACATAATGCTTGAAGTATTTTATTTGGATGGCATAATATATATTTACTAGGAAGACTAATTTCCTCAAACGAAATATATAAATATGTAAAAAAAAATTTCGGGTAAAATCCTAGTATACGGTGCAACCTTGGCATAATTTTGAAAATTATCGCCAACACCAAAAATGATCCAAAGAACGTCTATATACTATGTGTGTACATACATAATATATACTATATATAACTATATATATTCTTTGAATGACCAGTTTACTACTCATCGTACATGTCCCGTTTTTACTGCTCATCATAAAGTCGCCAAAAATAGCCAAATCCCCTGTGCAACGGATACTAGGATTAAATCAAATTTCGTTACTGGAGCATAAAAGTATTTATTATTGTACTTTAGATATTCAAATATTAGAAGTTGTAAGATAATGTAAGAGATTTTTGATTTAAGATAAGAGATTCAATTTTGGGGGTGACATGAAGGGATTTTTTTTTAAATTTATTTTATAATAAAACAAGACTGGTTTTGTATTTTTGAAAATTTTTGGCAGAACGGTTTAACTCTTTCGCATCGAAGTCGCCCGTAACGCCCGTTCATTCAGGCAACGGCAAACCGCCCCAACGCCTCGTTTATTTTCTACCTAGTTCTTTCCCCTCCCTGTTAGTGTATGGCTCATTGGTTTCGCGAGTTGTTAAAAGACATGTCAATCATTCTTTTGAAACAAATAAAGGAGAAATACAGAAAGCTATTGACATTCGCAAGTGCAATGACGTTTGCAGGTGGAATCCGGCCCTAAGGTGAAACTGCACACAATGGAAGAAACCCCAGAAAAACCTCCAAGAGCAGCAAGGGGGAAAGGAAAACTATTCCAAGACAAATTCGTAAACACGGGCATTTTCGATGTTTGTTGAAAACAGATTTGGTTGTCTCTCGATGCGAAAGAGTTAATCTTTTAATATTTCATTGGTATGTTAATATTTTCTAGAACCAAAATTATAAAATGGAGGACTGTTAATATTTACAGTAATAACCGATATTCTGAAAAAGAGTATTGTTTTCGATCATTTAAAAATATAGAGCAACTTCTGATGATGTCCGCCTTTTAAAAAGATACAAAAAGACAAACTAGAATATTACTTTGTCACCAATAATGTATCAAAAAACATTGTTTCAGTTTTGGATGTGGGTATTCAGTTGCATACTAAGTTATGTGAATAACAGGAAAAAAGCAAGCATTCAAAAACTTGGAAACAGTCATTATGATATTTCTAGGTAGAGTTTGGCATGATGAATTAATAATTTCAAAAAGTTTTGTAGTGGATTTGTCATTCAGAAAGCACATTGTAAGTTGGAATTTGCTCAGAATATCATGTTATGCCTTGAATAATAATTTGAAATGCTTACCAGCAAGTGTCGGAATTCGATAGAGCCAGGAGTTTTGCCTATCGAGAGTGTGATTATCGTTCTGTGATATCGCCCGTTGCACTAGTCGACATCCAACCACTGTTATGCGAATATGGCATCAATGGAATGCTGAGGATTATACTGAACAGCATGCATCTACGACTAACGCCCGAGAGGACACACATATTGTGAGGTTAGCCCTGTGAAATTTACAACCACATCACGGACCATTAGTCAGAAAATGGGCATGTTTGCAGCATGCCTATTATGTGCTCGTATGGTGCATCAACGTTTGCATCAGCCTGGACTTATCAGCATGGTGTCTATTACTTTGGCTTTTTACTTAGAAGAATTTGATTTTTGTCAATTTTCTTTACTTTCAATACTTACTTACTTGACTTTTTAGATGAAAATAGGTCAATGTGTACATGGATAAATTCAAGGGAGTGCGCAATGCCATTTTTGTCCAATTTTTGGAATATTTTTAAGTGAAAATAGGTTGATGGATACCGATTTTTTGCAATTCTTAAAAACGCGCCAAGCAGTGTGTGATTCTGCACTTTCCCTGATTTTCTTTTATACTCTTCCCACGCACCAGTAGATTGCAATTAAAAAACGAAGTGACTTACAATTACAAAATAGCCAGATTATCCTGAAGTAAACATTAGCAATATATACAAAGCAAAAATAATTATATTCGCGTGAAATATGTGCATGATCCTTTGTTTTATCAATATCAGAGTGTCTTGGATCAAATGGAACTACTCTGATATGCATCCTCAAGTCGCCAAACATTTTTGGCGAGAAACTCCACGCTGCCATATTGCTATCTAAATTTTTTGTCTACATTTCGAACTGTAAGCCTAAAATGTCTCCAAAAGCACGGTTTTCGCAAATGCAAAAACCACGTTTTGAACACATAATTTAAGCTAAAAATCCAACACAAAAACAAAAAATTTAGAAAACAAAACCGTAAAGTTTCTAACCAAAATTATTTGACAAGAGTCCATGTACACATTGATATGTTTTAACTTAAAAAAGCATCTACGAATGGCACAATATAGGCAACGAACGAATCTACAAACTACGCACACCTCGCTTTAATAAATTAACATAACAACAATAAATTTCAAAGAATACCCTGTACAATAACATTCTACAAAATAAGAACAAGAATAAAATAAAATGCACTTACCATGAATTAATGCTTTTTCGAACAGCAGAAATACCAATTTCATACCGCTTTTAACATGCCGCCACGTAATCGCTATCTTATTTATATGACAGCCAGACACATTATCCAGAAAATTCATACTATGGTTCACAAATAAATAAAATAGCAAATAATCACAAATCCCTACTTCTATCATGTACAGCCACTAAAAATAATCTTCAAGACCCTCTTTCCACACCTCCAAATACCCACTACGCCTCAACACGATGGCCACGACGATATTTCCTTTTGCCGAACTTCAACAACTTCCACCATTTTATCTTTCCCCCCTAGCTTCTCAGACACAGAGCATGACACGAACCAACGAACTCCAGCGAAAGATTTTTCAATGTGAACAGGGTTGCCATACAACACGCAATCGCGCCAAAAAACCAGTGCAGAACACATATCACCACATTTGGTGAAATTAGGGCTTATATCAGAGTTGCACCGATCAAATTAATATTTTCACAGATGGGAAATTAAGTTCAACACTATGATAAGCAACTGCAGTTTTTCATTATCATAGTGGCAGGGATATCGTTGAGGATATAATTAATGGCATCATGTATGCTCATTACAACAAATTGAAGTATAGTTAACCCACCCGCTACTGGACAGTTACAGGATCACTAGGTATGTGTACAATGGTTCTCTGCTTCGAAATCAAGGAAATAAGGAACTGTCTATTAATGGGGTATATCTGATAATGTGAAGTGTCCATTGCTGGAGGCTCGATTTACATTATCATCTTGTTGTTCAAAAATTTTACATCATGATATACTTCATGTGCATGATAAGATACATAAAACTGTTTTGAGTGATATCAGCTGTAAAATTAGACACTCAGTACTTCCTCATTAAAGTGGCCATTCCATAAGTCTCAGGCATTGTTTAAGATTACATAAAGCAGTCAGGTTGATTTGTGATAAATTATTAACTCTATTTCAGATTTTATTATGCTTATGAAATCTACAGATCTGATTTAATAAAAAACACCAGAAATAATCACTGTCTTATTGACTAACCATTTAGTTGTCCTCATACCATTTGCCTTTGTGCATAATGATATAAAATTAATGCTTTAGTAGCAGTGCTCAGTGAACATCATGAAAATATCAGCCAAATTTAACACAAAAATACAGCATGTCTTGTGAAAAGAAAATAATTATTTACAAAATCTTGTTTCCAACACTAATAAAGCACCTAATTATATATTAAAATTTCAAAACATGGTTTACACAATTGATTTTTAACTTATTATTAAATATAATAATAATATAAATATGTAATAAAATATTTTACATATTTATATATATATTAAGCTTGTGTATCTATTATTTGGCTTCATAAAGTAATATATTGTGTAAAATGAAGCAGCCATATAAAAACATATTAAAACAATAAATTTTTCTTAATGATGAGAATATAAAATTTCTGAGTAAATTAATAAGAGTTTAAAGCGATAAATCTAATAATGCTATAATAAAGCTTCATAGGACTAAGGCTGGATTTCCTGCTAATTTGTACTTTAGATTTCTTTTTTTTTTTCTTTTGCTTTGTAGAACTTTTCTCTTCTTCATAACATCATGTTTTTAATGTACCTTTAAAAGGTAATTAATTCTGGCAAGTATTTTGCTTGAGAGATGCTCTCATGTAGATTATCTTATTAAATGATATTTGTCTCATATCTGCTTTTCCGATTAGAAAATACATGAAAGACCAAGCCAGCCATGACCTGCCTGAGATTAGCATACAAATGTTTTGTGGCTTTAATTATGGAGCTAGGCAATAGTGATGCATGTTTAGTAAAACTCTTAATCTTTATAATAAAATATATCATAAATATATTATACCTACATAAATAAGTACCACAGAACATTTGCTTAGACACAGCTAGGATAATTTCTCTTGTTGATGTTATTTTGCACAGATTTTAATCAAAATTGTCTCTGAAATAATGTGCTATGTTTTGAGATTAAGAATGATGTGTGATAAAACTGGACAAAATTTATATTTTCCTAGATCCAAATTTTCCAACTTGATGGAAATAGTGCTTATTCATCATAAGAAGTAAAATTCTGAGAAAAAAAAAAAAAAAAAAAAAAAAACTTATGCATGCATTTTAATGAAAAATTAATAACAAACACCAAACAGCAATACTAGTTTTCAGGAAATGCTGAATAAAGTGAAAAGAAATAGTAATTAGGAAATATTGCTGTAAACTTATGTGTACATGTTTGTTACAAAAGTGCATAAAAGCTAACAAGTTAGGTAAAAATGTGTTTCATCAAAAAGTAAAATCTTCTATTAATGATTTACTATGAATAAACTATTAATAGATATGTGTACATTTGAGAAGGAGTATGAAAAATCATCAATGCAGCGAATATGTTCTACTGATATTAAACACTTAACGCACTTACCATATGGACTGTTAATAGACACAAATGTAAAAATTACCACAATTAGTTTGCAGAATGACTGCGGATGAATCTAAACAACACAGAGACATTTCTTTAGATCAGGGGTTCTTAACCGGTGGTCCACAAAGAAGCAAAGTACTTTTAACTATTAAATTCAAAAATGTAACAACATCCTGATTGAGTTTCTTCTCTAACACTCTTAAATTTATGCGATCTGAGCTTTGTTCAAGAGTGTTGGTGGTACTAAAGGTTTCAAATTTTTTAGATATGATACGCTTTAGTCAAAAGGTTGAAAACCGCTGCTTTAGATCAAATATTAGAAGAAAATGATAATTGCAGTTTCTCTAATTTGTAGATTTCCACAATGATTTAATTTTTTTTTGGGGGGGGGGGTTAACATTAATATAAATAACTGTTGTAATCATAAAGCACTGACAGCCATTAAAAGCATAACGTTATTGAAGACAGTAGATAAAGCCATATTTATTATACAAATAACTTTTAATAGATGGCTTAACTGTACGTATGTAAGAAAATCAGTTAGACTTAAAGTATATGGTTTAAAAAACAGTTAGACTTGGAATATACCACCTCGTACTGCCATTGCATAAAACTGCTGCATGAAGATAAACAGATGCTGGATGTGCACCTAGAATATGTGAGAAAATGAGATTTAAATTATTACCAGTGTGTATCAGCTGATGTAGCCATGGGTAGCCTATGGTGTGCGTTAGTTTTTTTATAATCATAGGCCTGATATATTCAGTAAATAACAGATCTGATGAAACCAGTGTTCAGCGACTTTACCGCTCGGCCGCAGGTGGGCCTGTTTAAATTGACATAGGGGATGTAGCTATGCAATTATTTTGAATTATTCACTTTTATTTTGTTTTTTAGCTTGAAAACTGCACAGTATTAGAAATGTGAATCTATCCTACCAATTAATCAAAATGAGGAATTGAGTTATTTCTGTTCATTGGAGCAAAAATAGTTTAGAATCCATTTTACACAAAGAGCCCCCTCATTTTTTTATATTGTTATATATTATTTATATTGTAATTATAATACAGGGTGATTATAATTAAAGTTTAAGTTTCAAAACGCTATAAAAAAAGAACCACTCATGAAAATGACGTCAAATTTGAAAGGAATATTATTGAAGAAGGTGGAAAGCGTATGGCAGAAGAAAAAATTTAGTTTCAAAAGTTAGCAACAGATGGCGATGCAAGCGGAAGAAGACGTAAATTAAAATGTTAGTTAAATTTCAGTGTTATAAAGCTGCCAGGTACCAGGCTGTTCCTAATTTCGCGTCTCAGACGTTCGCCGTGGGTGTTTCACTGCAGGACCGCGCTCTGCTGGTAAAGCTGTATTACAAGAATGATGATTGTGCAAGAGTAGCTCTGCAAAAATTCAGGACACTGAAGGGTATAAAAGAAGGCGTTGGTCCAATGAGTGTCGTAGGATCTAAAGAAAATAATGCAAAAATTCAAAACGACAGGTTTCGTTTGATGTGTAATCTGGTAGAGGGAGAAAACGAGTGTATTCGACGGTAGTTGAAGAAATGGCCACAGCATTACAGGAGGGGTCGGCCGGTGGTGTGCAACAGTGCAATGCACGAGGAATTTTGCCGGAACACTAGACAGGCCTACGAGCACGGTGCTGAAAATTGTACGAAACATCCTGAAATGCTATCCGTACAAAATTGGCCATGTGCAGGAGTTGCTTCCGCCTGACCTGACAGCTAGGGAGACGTTTGCGTTAAGAATTCCTGGCTCGCATGGAAGTGCATAATGAATGGCCGTGGAAAATTTTGTGGACAGATGAAGCCCATTTCCATCCGACAGGATACGTGAATACCCAGAATTGTCGAATATGGGCAACAGAAAATCCACTGGCAACACACCCCGTACCACTTCATCCTGAAAAGGTCACGGTATGGTGTGGCTTTATGGCATCATTCATCCTACAACCATATTTTTTCGAGCAGACGGGTGCTTCCGGTCCTGTTACCGCAACCGTCACTGGTCAGAGGTATGCGTCTCTTTTGCACAGCCACGTGATTCCAGCTCTGCAACAGCGTGGATGTGTGGATGAAATCATTTTTATGCAAGATGGCACTCCTCCGCACATTGCACATCCTGTGAAGCAGCTGCTGAGGCGCCATTTCGGAAATGCTCAAATTATCAGCCGTCAATTCCCTACAGCCTGGCTGTCCTGATCACCTGATCTTACTCTGTGATTTCTGGCTGTGGGGATATCTGAAGGATGTTGTGTTCCGTGCTCCAATTGCAAATTTAGCAGAATTAAAGGCACGCATTTCGCAACACATTCTGAACATCACCCCGGAGACACTGCGATTCGTTGTGGAACATGCTGTTTGTCGCTTTCAACTTGTTGCACACAACGGCGGACACCATATTGAAATTGTTTTGCGCCAGTCTCGCGACAGTTCAGAACTTCTTTTATGAATGGTTCTTATGCGGTATGTCGCCGCAAAACTCTTGAAACCGATTTGTCCCTTTCGATGTGATATGTACAGTCCTGCAAATAAAAGTATTCAACAATTCTAATTTATCAATGCGTTTTAATGTGTAACTTCCACCTTAGCCGTTGTTTTACAAATCATTTCTCGTCATGATTCTGCCGCTTTCAGCGCTATCTGTTGCTAACTTTTGAAACCAAAATTTTTTCTTCTGCCATACGCTTTCCGCCTTCTTCAAATAACATTCCTTTCAAATTTCACATCATTTTCATCAGTGGTTCTTTTTTTATAGCGTTTTGAAATTTAAACTTTAATTATAATCACCTTGTATATATATATATATTATATATACATATTCACATTTGATTTCTCAGCTTATATGTAATGATCCTCTGTTACTCACAATGAATTTGGTTTTTTAAAGAGATAATTAAGAAACCCAAGTTTTTTTGCATCTAAAGATAATTTTGGACACCAATGTAATTGAAGACATTTTGATCATAAATAAAACAGCATTACAATTTGGAAAATAAAACTTACGACAAAAGAAAAAGAGACTGAAAAAAATAATGCATACCTTTAATATAGTGTGACAATTCTTCAGATAACAAATCTAGGGAAGAAAATGCTTTTAATAACAAAATAAATCAATACAGAAATAAAACATTAAGTTATAGCATGGTGACTTGAAAATAAATACCATTATTTGTTACACCATCAACTAAATTGATTTGTATATTATTTAATCTATGTTAAAATTATAGAAGAATACTGATAGTCTAGACTTCTGCATCAAACTTGTACACCACAGTTTTAAAAGACATTCTTTTTTTCTTTTATTCAGTGATCTCATTACTTTATACAGATACCGCTTTCCATTTTTCGCAGTCACTGAGACACTGAGTCACACGTAAGAGAAAGAGCAGTATGTTTTTTTCTACCCAGCTACATATTAAATCAATAACAAAGTAAATATTAAAATTTACACAATAAAATTAAAAACTTTTGATTTAATGAATTTTAGCTATGGAAATGACAAAAGATACCATACACAGCATGAGTAACAACTGATGACATTATAGGGCTCAAGCAGTAACAGTGGTTAAATAGGGTTTGACTTATCATGATGTGCTGATACTCACACAACACAGGGATGGTTCATGGATTTTAAAGGTGTAAAGTTGTTTTTGTATGCCACACAAAAGTAAATACACTGTTGGTATTAGAATTGCTATATCATAAATGAAAACAGTTATAAAACTCATAGTTATCAGAAGGACAGATAAGGATTGTTGTTGATGCTAGGCCATTCTTACATTGTACAAAAGTTCCATGAGATTTGGCCAACCAAATAATTAGCTGCGTATCTTTCTTTTTGCTGCTGATTAAATATGTGTGCAAAGGTGCCTGCTCTGCAGTGGCATGTGGAAGGTAGTGACGATAAAAGTTTAACATGGCCAGAAAATGACGGAACTCCTGGACAGTTTTTGGCTCTTGGAAATTTTGCATTGCAATGACTCTTGCCACTAAAGCTTCGTTCAGATGGGGGCATAAGTGGTTAAAGCCGAGCTCCGTTGCCAAGGCAACCCAGTCTGTGCTACGTCACAAAATCTGGTTTAGGGGCTCGTGGCATAGGGTTAAAAGTTTTCAACTTTATGCCGAGTTTGGGACCGTCGACCAATCAGAGCGAAGCTAAAATGAAGCGGCATTCTAAAGAAGATTTTGCTGTCACAAAACAAGCAGAGTGAATGCGGGAAAGTTGTAGACACTCCACGCATGCGCAAATTTAGCTTCTCTCATTGGCCACGGCTTACACCCTGTTCTCGCAAGTGTGAACAGAATTCCTATATTTTATGCCCTTATGACTACGCCTCTATGCTCTTTATGCCGCCATCTGAGTGCAGCCTAAGTGGACAAACACCCTCTGGGAAAACCTCATGCCTAAGGATTGTGCAGAACAATTTCCTGAAAATACATTTTAATGGATTGAGAACTATGCCAAATAAGTCAAGGATTAAATGCAGGTGTTTAAGGTGCTGATTTTCCTTTGTCGAGGTTACAAGAGTATCATCGAAATATGGCTAGCAAAAATCTTATCATAAAGGATTTCATTTGTAAAATGCATAAGCATTTGCATGACGTTACACAACTAAAAAATCATAACTGGAAATTCAAAGAATCCAAAAGGTGTTATGACAGCAGTTTTTGGTACATCAGGTGGATTGACTGGAATATAATATAAGCACACATCAAATCTAATGTACAAAATACCTTTTGCATGCAGTCCTGAAAATGTGGAAACAGGTATCTATCAGGAAAAGTAACTTCATTAAGATGTCAATAGTCACAACAAAAAAAGCCAATTATGTTTTTTTTTTTTTTTTTTTTTAAATTGCTATTTTGCAGCAATTAATTTCTCTGGAGGCAAATGCCTTGCTTTGGCAAAGGTTGGTGCACAGTGGTTTCTATGTACAATAACTATGGCCAGCAGTTGGTTTGCTGGTTACCAAGCGGAAGATGTTAGGATACTGAAAATTACTGAAAATTAATTCAATTCCAAAATTAGTGCAATTTCTGATACTATTTAGAGTGGACAATTGTGTGATTGAGTCTAATGAGCATTGATTTTAAATGTTGACCAAAAGAGAAAATTTTTGCAGAAACACTGCATTAATTATTGGGTGCGAAACTGCAACTATGAAAAATGGCCATTGACATTTGCGATGCAATCAAAACCTTGCAATTTTTGGTCCATTAGCAGCATCCAGGTGCCCATTTCGATTCAGCAATCCTGTCTGTAAGGCTGCAACTTGAATGATAATTCCTGGATGCATTGCTGAAGCAATGAAATATCAACACTGGAATGCTGAACTTGATTGATTGCTTGTGGCTGGAGGACATCATGAATTTTGTCTGCTATTTGGGCCAACTTATGTAGTTTCTCGTTAATAGTGGTAAGAACAGCCTGGATATTACTCAGGAAATGGTTGAGCCACATTGATTGTAAAACATTGGATCACCAGCAACTTCCTGCATTTTTGATAATAACCGAGTTGGACACCTATCGTCAAGTTGCAAATCCTGTAATAGCTGCTTTAGTAAGACTCCTCATTATACTGACATTAAAATCTATTTTTCAATTCCTTGTATTTGGTATCTGAGGGAAGTTTCAGAACTATCCAGCATACTGACCGCAGAACCTTGGCATTGAAGACAGAAATTGTGGTACAAAACTTTGTGCCCCTGGAGCTTGAATTGGGCATCTAATTAAAAAAAAAAAAAAAAAAAAAAAAAAAAACCCACAAATGGAGTCAATATGGCAAACTAGGGAAAATTTCGTAGAAACATAAGTAATTTATTTATAATCAGTGGTTGGAAGATTGCCAGCATTCATTGTGATAATACCAATAACAATAAAATGATACAGTTCAGGAATATTATTGCAGTATTTGTGAAGAACTAAATAATTAACATTAGGACCTGGGTTCAAATGATCTACAGCATGAAAAATACACAAGGGGAAAAAACAACAACAACTCACCCTCTTAACGAATGCACACTGATAATATCCAATTTGAGGAAGAAAAAAGTACAAAATATCACAAATCACCTTGATGCACAAAAAATATCCACTCGCATATTTCTGGACCATGATCACTGACGGATACATTAAAGCAATTCAATACATACAATAATAAAAATATACTGGTTGAATTGCATTTCACACACTATTACAGTACACTGTTATAGAAGAAATTCTTGTCTACATTGTAAATTTCTTCGATTCATTCCAAGTAAGGAGATGTCACCATCATTTGTTGCAAGTTGCTCTACTGGATATAACAATAAATACATATATAGGCTTTACTAGATTTTTGCATGAAAAGTAGACACATGAAGTAACAGATCAATTTTAAATAATAAAATTTTAATCATATCATTACTATTACACATTAAATTAACATAGATGACTGTGACAGAGGGCAAAAGGCAACCAACTGCAGCAATGATGAGAACGTGAAGTGTTTTTCTTTTCTTCTTCTTCTTCTTTTTTTTTTGTTTAGAATCTCTGTTGTCGTTACAGTTAGAGATACAGATACACAGTTGGCGAGTAAACACAAGTTCACTTAGAGTCACCACATCTAACATGACACAGACAACTTTATGAAAATGTACATGTGGACATTTTTAAACCCATTATTAAATTTAGCATAAAAAATGACAAAACATGTTTTCTTCATTCAAGTTTATATACCACTAAAATACTTTGTTCACTACCTCTAAGATTTAATCCTGAATGAAATTATTTATGAGCTGTCAATGCTAAAATGTTAAAAACAAATTGTGCAGAACCACCACGTCAAAGATTCTTTAAAAATACTTTAATTCACTTTATAATGCACGGTTCAGACTATTGAACTATTTGTAATTCCTTTCTGATGTTAAAGATACTAGCATTTAATTGAATTTTCTAAATTTTATGTTCTATGCATAATTTTTTTTTCAAAATTTTCTTACTTTTTACTGAGAAGTGAAAGAATTTTTATACTTATCAGTTCATTTGTGCTCATAAACTTAGTAATGTATCATTTACTGAAGTAAACAAATACAGATATTAACAGATTAAACATTGCTTAAAACTTCATACGAAAATCTACAGATGTCTATAGCTGATTAAGATAACTCAGATCAAATGACATTTACTGAGACAGACATCAATAAAATGTAATAAGAAAAAAATACATTTCAAATGAAATAAAATTTAATAATTTATTCTGAAAATCATTAGAGGTGGAGGAATGGAATTTTCCATATTTAAATTTCATTAATTCAATAAATTCATATATTTTGGGGAAGCTAAAACTTAAAAACTGGGAGAGTTGGCAGCTATTCATATTTGAATCCAATAATTTGTCCTGAATAATATTTGCCTTGTTCATGAAATTGCCATGTTTATATTTATCAAAATAAAATACCTTTCACTGATGTAGCTATAATTTGCAAAACACTCCATCCTTTATCTAGAGGATCAACTAAATGCAATGCTTGAACCAACTTTATTAAATGACTGAACCTTTCAGTAATAACGGTAGATCTAAAAGCAGGTACTACATTTTCATCTGGTTTAATCCATGAATAGCCTAAAAAATAAAATAATAAAAAAAATCATAAAAAACATATGCAGATTGTTTTTTTGAAAACATCTAAATAAATTTTTAAATAGTATAAATCTGAAGCTTTTAAAGTTAACAAAATGTCTACATAGGGTAGAGAATTCTCATAAATTTATAAATTTTAGAAAAAAATATTTAAGTTTTTCTCTTATACACTTTAGGTTATGATTTTATATGGTACTTTTTATGATTAGTACGCAATTTTTTCAAAATATGTAAGGTCTATCTATATACAGGGATACATAGAAACAAGAACTTACTTTGTTTTATTTGAGAAACATTTTAAAGTTCTACATATGACAGCAAACCTATGAAGAGTATTATGTAAGTAACTTAGATTAAATAAAAGTAGCAATTATTTGGTGCGATATTCACCACTGGATGAATGTCTTGATCTCATATATCTCATTAAAACCAGAAAAATTGTATTACACTTAGTGAGAAAATATTTTATCAGTGTAGTTTTTATATTACATCTATTATTGCCCAACTAATATTCTAAAATATATATATATAAAAATTCTGTTACTTGTGTTAGAACTTTTCATAGGATAGAGGGCGCTGTTGCGCCAAAGGAATTCTGTTTTTTTTTTTTTTTCCTACATTATGTAACTGTGGTTCGCCATTGCGATGTATGTGTATTGCTGTGATATATATTGGTGCTTTCATTAAATATAAATGAAAGATATCGTCATGAAATTTTTTGTATCCAAATCAAGATCAAATTTACCACTGATGCAAACTTGTTTAAACAAAATATAGTTCGAACAAGAATAGTCAAGTTATTACTAGCCTGCCGAACGACGCATTAGAATCGTTATTCGCTTCGTAACATGTGGTGCTGTCGCCGGGAATTATCGTAATGGTGAGGTGAGTAAATAGTTTTGTTGAAAATTTGGTTGAATAGAATATTTTGTAATTGTTGAAGTGGTAAAGTTATTTGATGTTGTTGATCTTGTTTGGTAAAAATTTACAACTTTAGGTTTCGCATTTACTGAATATTTGCATTGGTATTTGAAAATAAGAAAATGTTGTGCTTTCTTATAATTAGAATTTGTTGTTAATGCTTGAAGTGTGATTTGTGTTGTTAAAAATTACAGTTTGTTTTCTTAGAATTCTAGAATTAGAATTTATTGTTAAAGTATTTGAGGGGGTAAAATTTGTTGCTAGAAACTGTGAAAATGGCTAAATTGTTAAAGCTTCGAACTAAGCGTGACACACATCGTGAACAAACTTTAAAGTTAGTAGAAAAAATAAACATATATTTGAATGAATCAGATATTGATATAGATGTATGTGATTCATATTTAGAACAGTTGAATAGTAAAATTGAAATTATTAACATACTAAATAGTGACATTGATGAATTGTTGAAAGAAGAACAAGAAATTAAGGATGAAATTAACACAGTTGATGAATATAACGAAAAAAAAAATAATACCAGTTAAAGTAAAGTTGCAAAACAAAATTAAATCAATTGGAAAAGTTCCATATCAGTCAGGTGAACAAACAGTAAATCCAGAAAATGTTCACGTAGAAAATAAAAATTTGCATTTAGAAAACAGAACTAAACTTCCTAAACTTTCGCTTCCTCGATTCTATGGTGAGCCTTCAGAATATTTAGATTTTTGGAATCAGTTTGAGAATTCTGTACATAATAATTCTAATTTAACTGAGGTTGACAAATTTTGCTATTTAAAGTCGTTATTAGGTGGTAAAGCCCTAGCTAGCATCAAAGGATTCTCAATTACTCCAGAGAATTATAAACAGGCTGTTAAATTAATTTCTGAAACATTTGGCCAAAGAGACATTTTAATAAATGCTCACTTGTCAAATTTATTAAATCTGGCACCTGTAAAAAATGCTTCTAACATTCAGGCCTTCGTAACCTTTATTTTGAAGCCCAAACTCAAATTAGATGTTTAGAGGAATTAAATGTCAAATCGGAAACATACACAACAATACTGACTAACATAATACTAAAAAATCTGCCAGGAGAATTGACTCTTGAATTTTCTAAGCAAAATATAAATAATTGTCATGATTTACAGGAATTGATGAAGTTTTTACACAATTAGTGCAAGAGAAAAGGCATTCCGTATTAATTCTAATAATGTATCTTCATATAATAATTTTCATTCTAACCAACACAAACAAAACAATTTTCGAAATCAGAAACGAAACTTCCCTCCGAGTCGCAATAAACAACACGCGTCAGTAACAGAATTTATGGCGAAAACTTCCGAAGTTTGTTTATTCTGTGGTCAAGGTCACTGTAAGACTGAATGTGAGAACATGACTGTGCAACAAAAAAGGGATAAATTAATTAAGGAAAGGAGATGTCTGTTATGTTGTAACACAAACTGTTTTGTGAAAAAATGTAATGCTAAACAGTGTTCATTCTGCTTTGGTAGACACGCCAAAGCTATTTGTTTTAAATTTGAAAATTCTAGCAAGTGTAAATCTAATTCAAAACCGGAAGAAGAAAAACCAAAGGAATTGGAAATTCAGCCTACTATTTCGAATTCAGTTGTAAATGATAGGAATGTGATTTTATTGCAGTGTGTTAGGACAGAAATTGTTGGTCGTAAATCGTCAGGTACAGTTATTGCAATGTTTGATAACGGTAGTGAGAAGAGTTTTATTAAAAGAAATGTATCTATGAAGTTGGGATTAAAATGTCTAGGGTCAGAAACATTAAAGATTTATTCATTTGGAGCAAAGGATCCTAGGTTGCAAACATGTCGCAGAGTTGAAGTGAGATTGCGAAATATTTTAGATGGAAATGAAGTCGTAATACAGGCGTTGGAAACAGATGAAATTTCGAGGGCGGCGATTAATTTGCCGAATGAGCGTACAAGAGCTGAAATGGAAGCCAAGGGATTAACTTTAACGTGGGGTTATAATCAAGCGTCAGATGATAATGAAATTTCCTTGTTAATAGGTATAGATTTTTATTGGAAGTTGACAAAAGGTTTTGAAAGGTTAAATACGTCTTTGGTAGCTGTAAACACAGAACTTGGATGGTCCTTGCAGGGAAATTGTGGTGATATGAGTAAAACGGCTGCTGTAAACTTAGTTTTAGGTGATCAAAGCACTGTATCAGCTGAACTCAGGCGTTTCTGGGAACTGGAAAGTTTAGGTATTGAAAACAAGGAAGCGGAGTGTTTGACTTTAGTGGAACAGGAGATACTTGATGAATTTAATAATTCTGTTGGGTTCGTAGATGGAAGATATTGTGTAAAGTTGCCGTGGAAACCAGGTATGCAGGAGAAATTAGCAAATAATAGAGAAGTGGCTCGGAAATGTTTCGATGGTCTGTTGGTTAGGAGATTTAGAAATGATACAGCTTTTTATGAGGATTATAAAAAGGTAATTGATGATTATCGTAAGGAAGGTATCATTGAGAATTCGTCGTCAGATACTGAAGTGTCATATTCTGAGCAGTCATTCTACTTACCCCACCACGCTGTCATTCGCGAGGACAAATCTACTAGTCGACTTCGAATCGTGTTTGATGGTTCTTCTCATGAAGGAGGACAACTTTCAATTAATGACTGTTTATTTAAAGGACTAAACTTGTATCCAAATCTATTTGAAATGATTTTAAAGTTTCGACAAAATACAATCGCCTTCACAGCGGATATAAAGCAAGCGTATCTACAAATTTTGATCGATCCTAGTGATAGAAAATTTACTAGATTCTTCTGGACTGATGATATCGGTTCTAATTCATATCAAGAAATGAACTTTAGTAGAGTTTTATTTGGACTAAAACCAAGTCCATATTTGTTAGCTGCAACTCTGAAATATCATTTTGATAAATGTAAAGAAGAATTTCCTGATACTTGCAAATTACTGTCAGAATGGTTTTATGTCGACGATTTGATTGGAGGCGAAGAAGACTTGCAAGCGGCTTTGAAAATTACGACTGAAAGTGTAGAAATTCTCAAAAGATGTGGCATGATATTACGAAAATGGAAAACCAATTCCATGGAACTGCGTAAGCTGTGGAAAGATGCTGAGTTCGACATCGATGAGGAAAAGAGCTCAAGTACGGGACTTGACTCACCATCCAAGGTGTTGGGTCTAGTTTGGGATCCAGATGCGGACAGTATATCTTTTAACGTAAAAGAATTATCAAAGTTTGTCAAGAACGGAACTGCTTCGAAAAGGTTTATTCTTCGAGTAGTGGGTCGTATTTATGATCCTATCGGATTTCTTGGGCCTTTCATCATAAAGCTGAAGTGCATTCTACAGGAACTGTGGAGTCATGACATAGACTGGGATGATAAACTTCCATCGTCACTGGATCACAAGTGGCAGTTGTGGTGCAGTGAAATCGAACACTTAGAAGATCTCCAGATTCCTAGATGTTATTTTTCAAATTTGAACTGTAAATTTATTTCATTTGAAATTCATTCTTTTTCAGATTCATCTCTTTTAGCCTATGGAACTGTATTGTATTTAAGAGCTATATCTGAATATGGGAGGATAAGTATCAGTTTTATTTGTTCTAAAAGTCGTGTAGCTCCTCTGAAAGGTCTTACATTACCAAGACTGGAATTAATGGGAGCTTTATTGTCCGCAAGATTAGTCCATCAAGTAAGTAAATGTCTTAAATTTAATACTTCTAGTTATTTTTGGACCGACTCGATGATTACATTATGTTGGATTAAGGGACAAGCTAGTAAATACAAAACTTTCGTAAAAAATAGAATAGAAGAAATTCAATCTTTATCAGATACCAATAATTGGGCTCATTGCCCTGGTAAGGATAACCCTGCAGATATCTTGTCCAGAGGAATTTCTGCAGCAAATTTAGCTACAAACCATCTTTGGTGGCACGGTCCACCGTGGCTAAGCCAATCACCTGAATACTGGCCTACTGAAAGAGAGAACTTAAAATCTACAGACGTAGACTTAGAGCTAAAAAAAGAATTTGAAAGTACAGTGCAAAATAACTG